GGTTTCTAGCACAACAATTAGGGTGTTTGGCCATCCCATCACCAGAGTAGGTCAGTTCGGGCTGTCTCTCGACCATTGCCGGCAGTCTGTTGTGTGGGTATCTTTGTGGATTTCTGTGGGCCTCTCTAGCACTTTGCTTCTTCCTGTTCTCATGTGGTCTTCATTTACCATGGTCTCCTATTTCTTGTTCTCCCTCTCTGTTGTTGATCCAGCTGGGATCTCCCGCTCCCCCAAGCTCTCTTTCCCTCGACCCTCGCCTTTCATTACCCCCACTCATGTCCAGGCTGTTCATGTAGATCTCATTCCATTTCTCTGTCATTGGGCGATCCCTGTGTCTTTCTTGGGGTCCTGTTTTCCGAGTAGCCTCCCTGGTGATGTGAGTAGCAGACAATTCATCCTTGTTTCATGTCTAGTATCCTGCTATGAGTGAGTACATACCATGTTTGTCTTTCTGAGTCTGGGTTACCTCACTCAGGATGATTTTTTCTAGATCCATCCATTTGTCTGCAAACCTCATGATGCCATTGTTTTTTTCTGCTGAGTAGTATTCCATTGTGTATATGTACCACATTTTGTTTATCCATTCTTCAGTTGAAGGGCATCTGGGTTGTTTCCATGTTCTGGCTATTACAAACAATGCTGATATGAACATAGCTGAACAAGTGCTCTTATGGTGTGGTTGAGCATTTCTTGGGTATATGCCCAAGAGTGGTATAGCTGGATCTTGGGGGAGATTGATTCCCAATTTTCTAAGAAAGCGCCATATTGATTTCCAAAGTGGTTGTACAAGCTTGCATTCCCACCAGCAGTGGAGGAGAGTTCCCCTAGCTCCACATCCTCTCCAGCATAAGGTGTCTTCAGTGTTTTTGATCTTAGCCATTCTGACAGGCGTAAGGTGGTATTTCAGAGTTGTTTTGATTTGCATTTCCCTGATGATTAGGGATGATGAGCAATTCCTTAAATGTCTTTCGGCCATTTGAGTTTCCTCTGTTGAGAATTCTCTGTTTAGTTCTATAGCCCATTTCTTAATTGGACTGTTGGGCATTTTGATGTCTAATTTCTTGAGTTCCTTATATATTCTGGATATCAGTCCTCTGTCAGATGTGGGGTTGGTGAAGATCTTTTCCCATTCTGTAGGCTGTCGCTTTGCCTTGTTGACCGTATCCTTTGCTCTACAAAAGCTTCTCAGTTTCAAAAGGTCCCATTGATTGATTGTTTCTCTCAGAGTCTGTGCTACTGGTGTTCTATTTAGGAAGTAGTCTCCAATGCCAATGCGTTCAAGACTACTTCCTACTTTCTCTTCTAGCAGGTTCAGAGTAGCTGGATTTATGTTGAGGTCCTTGATCCACTTGGACTTAAGTTTTGTGCACGGTGATAGATATGGATCTATTTGCAGCCTTCTACATGTTGATATCCAGTTTTGCCAGCACCATTTGTTGAAGATGCTTTCTTTTTTCCATTGTTCACTTTTGGCTTCTTTGTCAAAAATTATATGTTCATAGGTGTGCGGATTAATGTCAGGGTCTTCAATTCGATTCCATTGGTCCACATGTCGGTTTCTATGCCAGTACCAAGCTGTTTTTATTACTGTAGCTCTATAGTAGAGCTTGAAGTCAGGGATCGTGATGCCTCCAGAAGTTGTGTTATTGTACAGGATTCCTTTGGCTATCCTGGGTTTTTTGTTTTTCCATATGAATTTGAGTATTATTCTTTCCAGGTCTGTGAAGAATTGTGTTGGTATTTTGATGGGGATTGCATTGAATCTGTAGATTGCTTTTGGTAAGATTGCCATTTTTACTATGTTAGTCCTGCCTATCCATGAGCATGGGAGATCTTTCCATTTTCTGACATCTTCTTCAATTTCTTTTTTCAGGGACTTAAAGTTCTTGTCATATAGGTCCTTCACTTGCTTGGTTAGTGTTACCCCAAGGTATTTTATGTCATTTGTGGCTATAGTAAAGGGTGATGTATCTCTGATTTCCTTCTCCACTTCTTTGTCCATTGTATATAGGAGGGCTACTGATTTTTTTGAGTTGATCTTGTATCCTGCTATGTTGCTGAAGGTGTTTATAAGCTGTATCAGTTCCTTGGTGGAATCTTTGGGGTCGCTCAAGTATACTATCATGTCATCTGCAAATAGGGAAAGCTTGACTTCTTCCTTTCCAATTTGTATCCCCTTAATCTCCTTATGTTGTCTTATTGCTCTGGCTAGAACTTCAAGTACTATATTGAATAAGTATGGGGAGAGTGGACAGCCTTGCCTCGTTCCTGATTTTAGTGGAATTGCTTTGAGTTTCTCTCCATTTAATTTGATGTTGGCTGTTGGCTTGCTGTAAATTGCCTTTATTATGTTTAGGTATGTTCCCTGTATTCCTGATCGCTCTAATACCTTTATCATGAAGGGGTGTTGGATTTTGTCAAATGCCTTTTCTGCATCCAGTGAGATGATCATATGGTTTTTTTCTTTGAGTTTGTTTATATGGTGTATTATATTGACGGACTTTCGTATGTTGAACCACCCTTGCATCCCTGGAATGAATCCTACTTGATCATGGTGGATAATTGTTTTGATGTGTTCTTGGAGTCTGTTTGCCAGTATTTTATTGAGTATTTTTGCATCAATGTTCATGAGGGAGATCGGTCTGTAGTTCTCTTTCTTTGTTGTATCCTTGTTTGGTTTAGGAATTAGGGTAATTGTAGCCTCGTAGAAGGAGTTTGGTAATGTTCCTTCTGTTTCTATTGTGTGGAACAATTTAGAGAGTATTGGTATTAACTCTTCTTTGAAGATCTGGTAGAATTCTGCGCTGAAACCATCTGGTCCTGGGCTTTTTTTGGTTGGGAGACTTTTAATGACTGTTTCTATTTTGTTAGGGGTTATTGGACTATTTAAATAGTTTATCTGGTCTTGATTTAACTTAGGTATGTGGTCCCTATCCAGAAAGTTATCCATTTCTTTTAGGTTTTCCAGTTTTGTCGAATAGAGGTTTTTGAAGTATGACCTGATGATTCTCTGGATTTCCTCAATGTCTGTTGTTATGTCCCCCTTTTCATTTCTGATTTTGTTGATTTGGATGCTCTCTCTCTGTCTTTTGGTTAGTTTGGATAAGGGCTTGTCTATCTTGTTGATTTTCTCAAAGAACCAACTCTTTGTTTCATTAATTTTTTGTATTGTTCTCTTTGTTTCTATTTTATTGATTTCAGCTCTCACTTTGATAATTTCCTGGCGTCTATTTTTCCTGGGAGACTGTGCTTCTTCTTGTTCTAGAGCTTTCAGGTATGCTGTTAAGTCTCTAGTGTGAGATTTCTCCAACTTATTTATGTGGGCATTTAGTGCTATGAATTTCCCTCTTAGTACTGCTTTCATAGTGTCCCATAAATTTGGATATGTGGTGTCTTCATTTTCATTGATCTCTAGGAAGTCTTTAATTTCTTTCTTTATTTCTTCCTTAACCCATTGGTGATTCAGTTGGGTATTATTCAGTTTCCATGAGATTGCAGGTTTCCGAACAGTTTTAATTAATATAAGCCTCTGTGTGTTTACTTGGGTCCAAGCGACTGCAGGGCCGCTGGAGCCAGGCAGAAACAGGATAACTTCAGTTACACCTGAGTTTGATCCCAGAATCCACATAATGGAAGGGGAGAACCGATTTCCACAAGTTGTTCCTTGACCTCCAACACATATACCTGGCATGCCCATACAGGCACACATGTACATGAACTGCTTATACAAAGAATACATAAAATATATTCTTTTTTAAAAGGGCTATCAAGATTATTCAACAGATAAAGCATTTGCCACCAAGCCTGCCAACCTGAATTTGATCCCTAGGACCCACATGATGACAAAAAAAAAAAAAATTGATTCTTGCAAGTTCCTTTGACCTCCACATGTACACAGTGGAATGAGCGCACGTGCGTACGTGTGCGCGCCCACACACACACACACACACACACACACACACACACACACACACACGATAAATGTAATACAGAAGTTCTTTTAAAAGGTTAAGATGAAGATCATTTAGATATGGGACCCCAAGTGTGATTCCCCAAAGGATGAGAATGTCCCAAAACTGATGAGAGAAATATGTAGTGGAAACTAGAGAAGGATTCCTTATTCAAATTTATTGTCCTGTCACTTGGACTTTAGTGTGAAAACATGTGGGAGGAGGATCTTAAGTCAGGTGAAAAGAACAGTTACGAGATTGCCGTGGAGAGCTAATGAGAGAATGCTGGCTTAGGCCTGGATTGCAGCAGGTGGAATAAACTCTGCATAAAAATAGCAGACTCTGGAAGCAACTGGGGCATAGAAATAGCAGGACTCTGTGTGCAGGTTTGAGAAAGGGAAAAATTATAACTTGTCTTGTTTCTCTTGAGTTGCTAGTGACATTTTCAGTTTGTTTTCTTGGATAAGGGTCCAATATTATCCCAGGCTGGCTTCTCACTAGTTTATCACTAAGCATGGCCTGGCAAGCCCTAGTCTCCCCTTCAACTTTTCAGTGCTAGAATTCCAGGCATGTGCCACCACCCTGGTTTATGAAGTGCTGGTGATTCAGTGCAGGGCTCTGTGCATTCTAAGAAAGCTCTCTACCATCTGAGCAACAGATCCAGCTGGACAGTGAGTTCTATACTGAAGCCAAGGGTGTGTTCTAAATGTCTGCGGTTGAAGAGAGTTCCAGGCTTGGGGTAAAATGTAGTAGTTTCTCAGAAAGTAGTAGATGAGGAGAAAGCACAGTAAGAAGACTAATGAATTGAATTATGAGTAGAAGATGGGTAGCAGTTCAGTCTGGGTAGATGGGATGCTGATCAATAGAGGAGACTGAGGTGAGCAAGCCAGGTAGAAGTAAGGAAAACTGACCACACATGCACACACAGTGAAAATACATAATGCTTTAAAATACTGTTGCTGGTGTTGTATGTTAATGACTTTAGAGAGCTATATGATCTTATTGTTAAAGTGTGTTAAATATAAAGTGGGTTTGCTTTGCTTTTCTCAGAACGACTGGTGGTGGTGGCTGAGCACTGTGAGCAGAGTTTGGAAGACCTGCTTCGGGAAAGGAAACCTGTGAGGTACTGTAGAACACATGACAAGGCAGTGAAGAGTGAAAATCCGCCAACAAAGGAGCATTTTCACTAGACACTGAAGGGCATTGAGTTCTTTTGTTCTTGTGTAATGGTAAAATTCAATGTAGGTTTTTACTTTAAGAACTTTAGTTCACTTGCTACATAGAAATTCAATGTGTACATTCTACAAAGTACTTGAAAAGAAGTCCTCAGTGGAGTGTACATATATGAAAAATTTGACATCTTAGTTCTAAGAATTTACACTAGCCAAGATTATTTTCCTGAAAGGGGCTATGGTAGCTGCTCTGTGTGCACCAGTAGCCCCAGGTGAATAGTGATCTTTGTTAAGTAAAGGCCATGTTGAGGAAGAGGCAGAAGGAATAATCATAACTTGGGTAGAACTTAATGATGGAATTTAATTCAGTTATTTCAGTGACTCAAGAAATTTATGTTTTCTTAGAATAGTGTGTTATCTAATTTTTTATTACAAGTGTTTCATTAATATACTCAAAAGTATTTTTTAAATTATAAAGGATTCAATGTATAGTTACATTAAACTAACAAAAATTGCTTACCATGAGCCTTTATGACTTTGTAATTATCTACTTCACCCCTGAACCTGTGGCTGGAGTTCTCAACCCTGATGGCAAGGGACACAAGGAAAAGCTCCTAACTATCCAGAGGTCAAGGTCACTTAGAATTTCAAAGAAAGAAGCACCAAATACCAAGGTGGTCCACCTGAAGCATCTTTTGGGGGAACTTGCTTACAGAGTGCTGCAGCAGCATACAGAAGAGAGAGGTTCTAGGTGCTCAGGTTAGAGGTCCCTGCTCTGTGTTCTGGTTGCTGGCAGCCTGGCACTTAGCAGACAGCTGAGTGAAAACCTCGGCTCTAAGCAACAGCAGCAGGAAACACGTGCTCTCATTGGAGTTCCTGGCTGGCCTCGTAGGTTGGACTCTGAAGCTCCTCTCACAGATAGTGTTAAAGTTCCTTGGCTTAGGGTGTAGAGATGCTTGGTGTCTGAAAAGAGGCTAGTTACAGGTCTCCAGTGGCCAGTGAGGCCTGGCTGCAGCCTGGGTTAGTTCTACCAGCTAATGGGGTAGCTCTAGCCTGTGGCCCCTGACCGCCGTCTCTGTATTCCACCTCTGCCCCCTTAGCTTCCTGCTGTCTCTGCCCTCAGCGGCTCTCTAGATCTCTTCAGTCTTCCTCCTGGTGCCCCTCCCACTGCTGCTTCTTCACTGGCTACCTGCTCTCTGGCCTCCATGTTCCCAGCTCACCTGGCTAGCAACAATCAAAAGGAGATAAATTAAAAAACAAAAACAACAAACAAAATTGAGCTAAGCCTTTTGTTGGACTTAATGTTTCAGTACTAGGGCCAAGCAGGAGGTATCTCCTAGCTGATGCCAATGGTGAGCCAAGAAGACTGTGACCAGAATTGGATGTGATGTGGCAAGGGTGTTTGTATCTCTCCTGGTAGAGTCCTTTATCCAAATGAAAGATTGTTCTTCTGGCAATTGCAGGCCTTTTGCTGCGCCAGGAGAGCTGCTCCCCTCTGGACTGAGCGAAAATGGCCGTGGGGTATTCAAGTTCACCGAAGCTTATCTTCTCTAGGCTTCTATTTTTCCAGGCTCATGGCTCCCTGGAGTGAGTGGTCCTATCTGGAGCTGGAGATAGCACTAACACTAACTAAGAATATCTAAAGTTCCAGGGGATCCTATGTCTTCTTCTGACTGTGGCAGCCAGCAAGTACACATGTGGTGCCCATACATAAATAAATAAAATTTAAAAATTTTAAGGAGAACTGGGACAAAAGAAGTTGGTGACTCAAAAGAAAAATTTCCTGTTTTATCCTTTTTCAAATGATCCTGCCTTCTTTTTCTTTTCAGTGTCTTTTGAACATTGAATTGTACCATATGAGGATACATTCTGCATTACTTTGCCAATGAGACCATATCTACTATCTCATGAAAAGTTGTAGCTTTCTGTCCTTGTCTTAGAGATCTGACTCTCACAACAATGAACATCAGCTGGTCTGTGTAAAGAAGTCACATTTCTTCAATAAGTCACGTTTGTCTATATTTGATCAAAGTGTCACTGATGGAAACACAGCATAAGATTAAGAACAAAATTCTCATTGCTTTTTAATGTCCTTTACATTTTATAGATTTTTTTTTCATTTATTTTGCAAAGAAGACATTGACTTTTACAGGTCTTTGCAATGTCTTCATGAGAAATGTGTTTAAATATCTGTGTAAATAAAATCTTGTTTTTCAGTCATTCTAGTAACAAGCTTGTGGTTTCAGTGAGAATGGCCCCCATAAGCTCATATGTTTGAATACTTGGTCCCCAGTTGGTGGAACTTTAGGGGAAGGATTAGAAGGTATGGCCTTCTTGGAGGAGATGTGTCACTAGGGCTGCTGAACTTGGGAAGTTTCAAAATTCCACACCATTCCTGGGTAACTCTTTCTGCCTCATGGTTGTTGTCTCAAGATATAAACTCAGCTACTGCTCCAGTGCCATATGGGCCTATCTGCCTACCTGCTGCCATGTTGCCTTCCATGATGGTCATAGACTCATTCTCTGAAATTGTAAGCCCAATAAACTCTTCTCTAAGTTACCTTGTTCGTGGTGCTTTGTCACAGCAATAGGAAAATAACTAAGACAAGGCTAGAATTTAATATTTTCCATGGAAACTGTGGAATATAACATTACTTCCTGCCTTTCAGTAAAAGTCATCCAACCAGCCTTAGTTCCAAATTGTTGCTGATGTGTTGTAAATTTATTCTGTTAAGAACTGCTTGACTTGTCTATGTTGGGATGATATTGGTCTCCAATAACAGAGGACATTTCATGTGCTGCAATGTTAATTACTCTGTAACTTGGTAAGGAAACATGGGATAATATTCTTAAGGCTTAGAAACTAAACTAGTTTTCACTATCAGAAATCAGTGCTCTGGACCTGTGATAAAGAAATTTCTTCCTCAAAGGTTTCATTTGAGGGTCATCTTCACTTAACCTGTTTGTTTACAACCTGCCACTGTAAGATGCTACTGTCTGGTAGTCATTTGCAGTTCACTTTCTACAGATAATTACATCATTCAATACAGAACTAGTTTGATAGATTGGTGGAAGGAAATTTGTATTCTGTAGTTGGAGTTTTCCTGCCTGGCCCACAGTCAGGACAAATCTCTGTCACCCGCCAGTCCCACAGCCACTCAGACCCGACCAAGTAAACACAGAGACTTATACTGGTTACAAACTGTATGGCCGTGGCAGGCTTCTTGCTAACTGTTCTTACAGCTTAAATTAATCCATTTCCATTAATCTATACCTTGCCACATGGCTCGTGGCTTACCGGTATCTTCACATTCTGTTTCTCATCGTGGCGGCTGGCAGCGTCTCTCTGACTCAGCCTTCCACTTCCCAGCTTTATTCTCCTCCTTGTCCCGCCTACACTTCCTGCCTAGCCAATGGCCAATCAGTGTTTTATTTATTAACTAATTAGCAACACATTTGCCATACAGAACATTCCACAGCAGTATTCAGCTAAAATTTATCTGACAGAGAGTAAGGGAATTAAAACTAGAAGCTGAGAGATTAGTCTTATTGTATTTTACCAATGAAAAACATTAAAGCGTTAGATCTTATTGGTTATGTAGTCTGTCTTCATTTAGTATTTTTCTTTTTTTTTTTTTTTTTTTTGTTTGTTTGTTTTTTTGGTTTTTCGAGACAGGGTTTCTCTGTGTAGCTTTGCGCCTTTCCTGGAACTCACTTGGTAGTCCAGGCTGGCCTCGAACTCACAGAGATCCGCCTGGCTCTGCCTCCCGAGTGCTGGGATTAAAGGCGTGCGCCACCACCGCCCGGCTAGTAGTGCTCAGGGCAGTTTTAGCATATAGCTATCTAGTTGTTTTAGCTGTATTTAAGATACTTCATTTGTATTGCTTTGTTGCTTTAATTGAAAAGCAAAAGGCCATTTAAATGCGTAGGTCTAATTTTGGGGATTTCTATTTTGTTTCATTTACCTATTTTTCCATATATATGATGGCTGTATGTTATGTGAATCTCTATAACTTCACAGTACAATTTGAAAGCTGCCAATGCAGGTTTCCAATATTTGCATCTTTCAAGATTACTTTAGTTATAATTGGTTCTGTGAATTATATTCACATAAATTTTATAATACATTTTTTAGTTTTCAAAAGTGTCTGATCTTGTAATTGAGGTTTGGTTATGCTGATAGGCCAATTTGGGAAGAGATGACGTCTTAACGATTTCCAGTCATCCAATAGACTAACACACTCTTTCTCTCTAAATTTATAGTTTTATTTCTCCCTGTACTGTTTTGTAGTTTGTAATATATGGTTTTTCCTATTGCTAAGTCAGTCCTAAATATTTTGTTTTGATATGAGTATTATGAAATTGTATTTGATTATCCTATCTTGTTGTTAATATATAAAAATATAAGTGATTTTTTTCTTGCCTAAGACTCTGCTGAACTAAATGTAGTGTTAGTTCAAATAGTTCTTCTGCAAATACCTTAAGATTTTCCAAGTAAGTAACCATATTATCATTAATTAAAATATGTTTTCACTCTGTCCTAAAAAATCATTATGGCTTATTTTTTTTCTTGATCTATTTCACAAAATTGGACTTTTGCTGGATAATTGAATGCAAATACTAATGGTCATATTTCCTTGGTTTCAAATATAAGGGAAGAATATTCAGCATTTTACTATTATGTATAGTATTTGCAATAATGTTTTCATAGATGCCTTTTTATAAGATTAAAAATTTTATAGCAGAATAAAATATTTTAGTGTGTCTGTGTCATGATAATAAAGTTATTTTAAAAGATGAAAAATTTAATGGCAAAAATACTCATACTTATTGAATGGTAACTTTATTCTCACAGATATATTAGAACACTGATTTTCTGATTATTTTATATCAGGAAAATTGGGGAACACAGACAACTGTTAATTTATAAAATACTCACATGTAATGGAAA